GCGTGGACAAGATGGCATGTTTGTAGTGGGTGAGTCATGCGGTGGAATAGTGAAAGACGACGACCTGCTGACGTGGTGTCCATCCTCTTTCGAGTGTCGTTGTCCGCTTTTCTGCGGGTTGGACTTCTGCGTCTTTGACAACGAGACAGGCAGGCAGATGTGTGGATGGCGTGTTGAAATTGAATCTCGGTGACTTTGACATACGTCCTCTGTGATGTGAAGTGCACTGGAAGGGTCGTGCTACCAATGAGGTTTTTCGTTTGTCATTGGCTTTCAGTGGCCAAACTTTGCGACGTCATTTGGACGGAGAGTGTTGGGAGAGTGAATCGTCCCTTTCGCAGCGTGTGGGGTTGCATCCACTGAATGAGATAAGGCAGGGGTTAGTTAATCGCTATCGCCAATTCATTCATTCATTCGTGGCATTTGTATGTTGGAGGGAGGCTTGCAATGGTCATTGACAGTGAGGAGGTGGAGCCAGTGATTTGTGCTGATTTTGCCTCATGACGGGAGGGCTGTTAAGCCGACTGATGGTGGCGAGTCGTTAGCGTTGCTATAGTTCGCTTTCCAGTAATGTAAAATGCATATTATGAATCGTTCGGCTTATCGCTACTCGTCAAAGGGTGTCCATATTCTTTGCCTTTCATTTGTTTGTTTTGTGACAACCCATGTGGAAGAGAGTTGCGTAGAAGGTGAATAATGAGAGAGAGAGAGATCGAGGGTGTGTGTGTATCGTCGTGGTTGTGTTAATCGTGCCCATGTGTATTTGTACGGTACAGCTGCTCTACCAGGCAATAGTCGACGTCTTGGCGCAGCCTGTGACAGGGAACAACGAGGAGAGGTGTCTCTTCAATGAGGGCAGTTTCGCTATCCACAAGGATCGTTTGCGACAAATGACTTGCGACCAGGTGCTCAAGCCTTGCAAGCTGAACACGTGAGTTCAACCGGTGGAAGTACCCATTTCATCTTAACTTGTCATCTCGTGCATCTTGTTTCCATCCCATATCTATTCATCTATCCATTCGTCCGTTCGTTGTTCTGTGGAAATACTGTTATAGTCGTAGGATCGTTATTACTGATCTCTTTGCTAAAATTTATGCCTTTGTTTGATAATTGGTATAGAACTGGGATAAAGTTGTATTGTTAGGTGCAGGGTATCTGTTGAATGAGTTAGGGTTCTTTAAATCCACTTGACAATGTGACCTATCAGCGGAATTG